ATTAAGCTGCACATGGATCCTCACTCCGTTGACTCCTCATTACAATCGTGGTGACATTTTAATCATCCACGATCAAAAATTATGATATTGCACATCCCTAGTCAAAACTCATTACAACTCTTACAATTTTTTTCACATTGTAACAGATCTGAGGATTGTGTTGCTGGGTAAAACTGGATCAGGAAAGAGCGCTTCAGGAAACACAGTCCTGGGCAGAGATGAATTTACAGTGAAAAACTCTCTGATGTCAGCTTCAATGACCTGTGAGAAAAAAGAAGCAATTGTTGGTGGACAACCTCTATCAGTTACTGACTCTCCTGGCTTGTTCGACACTTCAATCAGTAATACAGAACTTCAGACTCTAATAGAGAAGTGTATGAATCTGTCTGCTCCTGGTCCTCATGTGTTCCTGCTGGTTTTGAAATTAGGTGTGAAATTCACAGAGGAGGAGAAAAATGCTGTAAAATGGATTCAGGAGAACTTTGGAGAACATGCTGTAAAGTACACCATCGTTCTGTTCACTCACGCTGATGAACTGGATGGTAAACCTGTAGAGGAATATATCAGCAAAAGCACTGAGCTACAACATCTAATTCAGACATGCTACGGCAGATATCACTCATTCAACAATGAGGAGAGAGATAATCGAGATCAGGTCATGGAACTGCTGAAAATGATAGAAAAAATGGTAAAGTTTAATGGAGGAAATCCCTACACTAATGACATGTATAAAGCAGCCCAAGAAAAGATTAAGAGGAAGTAGAAAGATGCAGGAAAGAGAGGATTAACAGCAGAAACAGCAACAGCGTATTGATGAGTACACTTTCCAGATCAGGAATAGTGGAATTGTACAAGATACAGTTATGTTATTTTAAGACTTGATTATTTTCTGCCTGACAAGAATATTTCAAAGAATTATAACTGAGCTGATACATTGTACATAATTCATTATATCCACCTTATTTTTCAACACAGAATTAAGCCGTTTTCTGTGAATGTGCGAGACTTCCGGTTCATTAGCCA